TCTTCAAACCAGGTCTACCTCTCCAAAGCCACCCCACCTTCTGAGAATGGTAATAATGGCAAATGGTTCTGGCCACCCACCAGAGCCTTCCTAAGGCTCCATTGACTCATGTGTGCATTCACTAATTATTTGGCTTCTGCTATCCACTGGGTTCTACACACAGCACAGGATGTGTTGATAGATGATAGATAGATAGATAGATAGATAGATAGATAGATAGATAGATAGATAGATACCAGGCATGCCCTTCCTCCTGGTACATAAGTAATATCCACCTCTGTTGGAAAATGGGCCTCAGACAGTAACATGATGTGTCTGCAGCAATACAGGTAGTTAGGGGCAAAGCTGAGATTTAAACTTAGGGCCATGCACCTCAGGTACCATTCCCCTGGCTGTCTAAAAAGGAGAAGCAGGAAGTGAGGATGGAAGTGAGGCTCCAATTGGGCTCTTAGATGTCCCCAGGAGAGTATAGCACACAAACCAAGATGGTGGCCATTTCCATGGACAGCAGCCTTTGGAGACTATGCTCAAGTAATATTTCAGTACTAGAAAAATCTTGCAGAAGAGCTGGGTATAGTGGCACTGGAGAAGCAGAAGGACTGATGCAAGTTCAAGTTTGGCCTAGGATACTTGACTTCCAGGCCAATCTATTAAGACCCTGTCTCTAATGATGATGATAACACATGCTTTCATAAATATTTGGAGAAATTGAGAATCAAGCTAAAACTTAACCCATAATCCTGCTAGCCACAAGTAGCCACTGGTAACAGTTGGGGATGTCCCCTGGGTTTTCATGTGCATAGTTTGTATATACATTTGTTTTGGTTTTTTGATTTTTTTTAAATTTATTTGTATTTTATGTGTATGAGTATTTTATCTGCATGTATTAGGCACACCCTTGCATGCAGTGCCCACAGAGGCCAGAAGAAGGCACTGAATCCCCTGGAACTGGAGTTACAGACCATTGTTAGTCACCTTGTGGGTGCTGGAAACCAAACCTCTAGAAGAGGACCCTGGATTCAGCTCCCAGTACCAACACAATGACTAACAAACCACCATAACTCCAGTTATGGGAGATCTGATGCCCTCTTCTGGCCTCCATGGGCATTGCATACAGGTGGTACACTTACAAACATGCATATAAATATATACACATAAAAATAAGATTTTTAAAAAGAATTTCATACAGTGTGTTTTGATCATATTCAGATGTCCTCCCCCCATCCTTACCTTACTCCCCTCCCACTTCATGTCCTCTATTATTACTTGTCTTTTTTTTTTTTTAAGACCTTTTGAGTCTAATCTGTGCTCCCCAAAATGCTCTTGGATGTCGGTCTATCTCTTGGAGTCTGGTCAACCTATCAAGCATCACACCAGTAGGGAAAACTGACTCTCTTCCCAGGATCTATCAACTGCCAGAAGATCCTCAGCTTATACATTTGTTTATGCTGTTCAGATTGTGCTGACTCTAATCTTTAATTTTTTCATTTGAGTGAACATCATTAATGCTGTTACATGAGGTATCAAGGTAACAGCTGCCACTTGGGCAGCTAGCCGAACTCTGTAGCAGGACTTTCCAAGCCCTGTGTCCTCTGTCTAAAGAACACATTCCATTTTAGAGATGAGGAAGGTTTGTTCTAGCAGGATAGCAGTGAAACCAGGATTGGTATCTGGGTTGACACCAGAGACCAAAGCCATAGGCGCTGACTGGAATGGCCCTGTCTGTGACGTAACTCATCCTCAGTCATGCTTGGAAAGCTACACCTGTCATGTATTACCTCCACCCTACCTCCAGCTCAAGCCTGGTGGGGAGGAGGAAGACTTCTCTGGCAGCCTGGCTATCGGGCCACCTGCCCAGATGCCTGTAGTAATCCTTCTCGGCCACCAGAGGGCAGAAAAGCCGCCACCCCACCTCTGCCAAGAAGGATTGCATAAAAATTCCAGGTGCCCAGTGCAATTTGAACTACAGATAAACAAAGAACACTTTATTGCAAGTAGTTCCAAATATAAAATGAACATACTTATATTTTAAAAAATAGCCATTGCTTATCTGAAATTCAAATTCAGCTGCGAGTTTTGCTCTCCACTCCCCAGTGCAGCAACACCATGCCTCAGGTTACTTGGCTTGACAAGCTATGGTCTGCCCTTCATTGGTTTGTTTGGCTGTAAGGAAACTAAAATGGGGGGTGGGGGCACCCCAGGGTCCCTAGAGACCAAATTCACCATACTAATGGCAGCGGGGTTGAGAGCCAGCTTTCTGAAAAAGGACTCTTGGTTCTTGCTGCCCTGCCCCCCTTCCGCCGTTCACGCTTGAAGTCCCTGCCCGGGTAAATGCTTCCCAGTTCAAACTTATAAAAGCAACTCTTGACCGTTTTTTCAATCTCTGCGGGTCCCATAACAAGCTTTGCTGCCAGCAAATGTCTTCTTCCAAGTCCCATCGGCAGAGTATGTTTGCAGTGGCCAGGGAGAGAGTTTGATCCTAGGGCTGTTTCGTGGGTGGCTTCTTTGGAGATAGAGACTGAATACAGGGTCAAAGAAGAAGTTTCAAGTTGCTATGGAAACCTCTCCGAGGTTTCTGGGCCCATCTAAAAACTAACTGGGTGCTTCTGGGCTGAAAAAAAGGAGCCAAAATGAAAGGCATTTGTGGAGGACTTTTCTGCCAGCTGCAGCCCGGTCCACACTGAAGCAGGAAACTCCCCAGGTCTCAGCTGCTTCCCCTGGGTCTTCCCTGTCCTCTCAGACGCTCTGCTACCTATGAACTCACACTTCCAAGGGACTGGAGGGGAGTATGGCAGGGGTGTGTGTGGTCCCCTACACCCCCCAACCCCAGCCCACTATGGGCTGAGCAGGAGGCAGCCACCCCACGCCCAACCCTGACGTTCCCTGGAACAATTTCCTGCCAGGTTCATTGGCTTAGGGCCTCTGTTCTCCCACAGTCAGAGGGAACGGCGATCCACACAGTACTTCAAACTGCCTACAGCTACTTTCTCAATTTTTTTCATCTTTACTGCTTTTCTCTGATAACCAAAGCAATGGATGGGAAGGTTTTTCTTTTTAATATTTATTTTATTTGTATAAATGTTTGCCTGCATGTATGTAAGTGCACCCATGTCTTGCAATGCCCACAGAGGTCATAAGAGGGCATCAGATCCCCTGGAACTGGAGTTACTTACAGTTGTTAACCGTCATGTGGGTGTGCTGGGAATCGAACTCAGGTCCTCTGCAAGAGCAGCCAGTGCTCTTAACCACTGAGCCATTTCTTCTGCTCGTTTATTAAGCCACAAACATTACAGAAATAGTGACATAGAACAGGATCTTATCATTTTATTCCATAGAACAGCAGTTCTCAAACTTTAATATAAATGGATTTCCAGGGGAATATGCCAAATCCATATTCCTCGGCTAGGGAAGCCACTCAGTGGTAGAAATTTTGCCTAGCATGCACACGGCCCTGGGTTTGAGACCCAGAACCACATACACACATTCAAAATTACATCTAGGTCCCCATCAAAGGTTCCAATACAGAGATCTATGATCTTGTCCCATTTTTCACTCTTACAATGACACCTAGCAACAGTATGTGTGATATATTGATCTAGAACTGACTTCTGCTGACAGGTTAGTTTGTTGTGCATCCAGACTGGTTCTCTCTATGCATGAACTAATATTTTGTTTTGGAAAAAAAGGAAGGGATCATACTATACATAATTTTTCCCTACATGTGTAAGGGACATCTTTCGCAGGTAGACACAAACATGCTGATTGACAGCATCCTATCAAAAGGTATGGCAGCATCTCTTAGTGATGGCTGTGGCTTCAACACTGGTGCCTCTGCTCACCCCCCATGCAGTGTCATGGGTACTCAGACACACAGGATAGAGCTGCAACTAGCTCTGGGTGCCAATATTTTGGGTGTCAGAACATGCCAGAAATACAGTATTCCATAGATGCTGACTAAATGAATAGATCATATGGCCAAAGAGAACCCAAAATTGCATGTACAATGCTTCCGCCCATGTGTGTCTTGGGCCTCATTGCCTTCCAGCTAACCAACGTTCCATGAGAAAGTAAACTAGGGTAAAGGCCTATTTTAATTGGTGCTGGTTTCCACACTGGGGAGCACGGGCTAATACCAAAAGCTAGAACACTTCCCAGTTCTCAAGTGGAAACTGGTTCAGAGGTGAGAAGACCTTTGATCTGCACCAAGGCTGGCCTTGGGGTCCTGCACATGGTCTCATTGAGCCAGCAGTCACTCATGGTAACTGTGGGGACAGGTACAACATGCATGTTGGGACCCTGCCCTCAGAGCACAGAGCCAGCTCTGTCTGCAGGGTGCTTTTGTGAATGCCTTCTCATTGAGTTTACTCATTGGCCAGCCACACTGTTACCCTCAACATTTAACAGACACAGAAGCCACGGTACAGAAGGTGTTGATGCCAGAGCAGAGCTGCCCCAGGAGCCTGCTAGGTACAGATCAGCCTGTTGGGTGCCATCAGCTGCCATGTCCTACCACTTCTGTGAAGTTCCAACTATCAAGTCAATTATGAGCATGGAGTTTTTAACCCACAAACAGGTGTGTCCATTGTAGCCCAGTTGTAGGTGACATCATGTCACAATAGAAGCACCTACTGGCACTTAGAGAATGACCCAAAACCAGCTCCATGCAGTGTACTCCTTTCCCATCAACCACCCCTAGAGCTGTGTTCTGAAGAATTCCTTGGCAGCAGGAAGCTTGGCTTCCCCCTTCCACCGGGAAATACTGGAATCCCCTCCCATAGAAACGGGAAATTCCTTCAAGGGAGCCAGGAGCCGCCTTGCTCAGAACAAAGCCTGGCATGATTCTATTCCTCATCAATCTGACAAAGTAGGTATTTATTTGTGCCTCTCAATCAGGGTGGCTTGGACATGGTGTTCCAAACTGTGGACATGGCCATGCACCAACTGAAATAACAGTTTCTATAGCAACAGTTCCTTTTTATTGATATCAGAATAAACAGGAATGCAATGCTGCCTCCCATCCCCGGGGTTTAAGACCCGCCCTCCGGAGGCGACTACCTCACTCATCTGGGACCTGCTGAGCACTCTCTCAGACTAGACCTGCGGAGGAGCAGAGGAGCGTTCGGCCCAGAGGCACTGCTCTGATTCCCCTTCCCAGGACCCTTGGAGAAGTAAGATTCTGCTATATTTTGTCACACCTGCTGGGTGTGTTCTGGGAGGAGGCAAAGGGAAGGAGCTTAACTTGGGAGCAAGGCAGCAGGCTGTCAGGGCAGCTGAACCCTGTGACTTTAGGTACCTAGACTGCCCCACAAGGGTGAAATGATACAGGGATATGACGTTGGGATTGGGAAAGGATAAAGGATGAAACGGACACCCAGAAGTAGCCCTGTTGATCTTTTGCTTCTAAGTACGTGAATCGATCCTTATGTGTTAGTGCTGTGCAGGGTTGGTAAGGAGGGGTCCATTTGCTTAATAACCAAAAGATCAACAAAACCCAGGTTCTGCATGTGATGGGCAGAACACAGGACTGCGGTTTGGACATCAGACAGAGCTCAGCTCAAATTCTGGCTCCTTCTTCCACTGGCTGTGTGTTTAGGAAAGTCAGGTAACCTCTTTACATCGTGGTTACTTATTCCTATGAAAGGGATGAGAATATGCCCATGTCTTCAGTTTGTTGAGAATTCCACAGAATCCGGGGCTAGATATTTAGCACAGTACTCAGCCTGTGCAAGCTAACAGGAATGTCTGTCTTGCTGATGAGCTTGGCTTTAGCACCATGTGGCAGAAGGCCAGTCTGGGATTAGAAAAATCAGATGCTAGAAGATTCCCATTCTTTGAAACCACCACTAGCCCCCATGGTTTGTGATTTTGAGGCAGACCCTGAACCTTTTTCTGGGTGGCTCAGATCTTGGTGGCTTTCTTAGTTCAGTGGGTGGTAATGCCCACCGCAATCTTCCTCCGAGCCAGCTGCCAGGTGGAGCAGCTGGCATCTAGCTGTGTAGGCAGCAGGATATAAGGTCCACTCCTGTTGATCACTGCTCAGTGGTATCCCAGCTTTCCTAAGGACCCTGTATGCCCCTACCTTCAAACTCGGTCATTTTCCTCACTGCCCAGAATGTTCCAACCGACCAAGGCAAAGAGTTAAAGTCTGTCCAGAGTCACCTTGTCCAAATGGATAGGCGGCTCTTGATGGAATTTCAGGGTGCCAGCCAGAGGCTATAGGGGGCCCTGGAGGTGACACCAGATTTGTTCTCAGGCCAGTGAGTCACAAAGGTGCACCGCCTGCTAGGAGACAATGATGAACGGGACACACAGTGGTCAGCTGTGAAAGCTTCTCCTCTGGCCAGTGCTTCTCAAAGCCTCCCGTCTGAGCCTGCCCATGCTGAAGCAGGAAGGTTCAGAGGGAGAGGGGTGAAGTCTGGCCACCAGCCGGCAGGGAAGTCTGCCAGACCTGTGGCTTCATGTGGCCAGGCTGTGTTTGCATTTTCCACAGGCTGCTCAACTCTGGTTCTCTGGCCTCCACATTCTCAGCAATCAAGTGGGCTCAATCTCCTCTTCCATAGAAGAGGGCAAAGGGCTGTAAACCTGCTCTGTGGACTCAGAAACATGACACACTTGGGTGACGGTGTCGTAGTAGAAAGAGCACTAGGTTTGGAGTCCCAAGATCACAGCTTTGCTAACCACCCACCATGTATGTTGCCCTACTGGGCCTTTCCTCATTTATAGAATGAGTTGCCTTTGGGACAGTTATGATATCCAGACCAAGTCCCATGCTCACCCCAAGGCACCTAGGACAAGAGGACCACAGTTTGCCTCACTCAGCCAGACAATGCACAAAGTACACTGTGTATATCATGTACACCACATCATCTCATTCTCCAATGACTTAGAGTAGATACTGCCATGATCGCCACTGTTCAGAGGCTCAGAGAGGGTCAGCTATTTGCCCAAGCTCACACAGCCAGGATTGTATGCCACAGTTCTGTCCTCTCTGCTTTAACCACTATGGTTTATTGGATCAAGCATCATTTGTAATAATTGGTGCATCAGAGATACAACTAGTGCTGTAAGAGCAGAGGAAAGGCAGACTGAAGGGACATTATAGCCTAAGGTAGGGCTGAGGGAATAGTTCAGTTGGTCAGGTACCTGCTTAACATGCACAGGCCATGAGTTTGATCCCCAGCACCTCATAAATGGGGCATGGTGGCCCTTGACCTATAATCTTAACACTTGGGAGACAGAAGCAGGAGGATTAGGAATTCAAGGTCATCCTTGGCTACAGAGCAAGTTTGAGGCCAGCCTGAGGTACATGAGACCCTGTCTCAAAACAAGCAAAAAACCCCACAAAAAGACCTGGGGCTTCACTGCTGTTCTATCGCTGTACCCAGGAGGAGACCAGGGTTCAGTGTCAAGGCTTCTGCTCCAACCCCATCCGTATACACCCAGCACCCTGGGAGTCTAGTGACCCTGTGGCATCTCCAGAGAGGAGTTGCAGGGCCTCTTGGGTCACCAGAAGAACCCAGAGAGAACCAGAGGTTCCCAGTCTCTCTTCTGCTCTCTTACAGCCGCATCCCTTGCTAGAGGTCAGCCTTACCACCTGCCCTCTTGAGGACATGCAAGACCCTTATTTAGCTGTCACCTTCTGGCTCCAGAGCCTCATGCCCAGCAGGAGTTCCTCAATCTTCAAACACTGGTTCTCCAGAAGAGACTCCCTGGGACTAAACACCTAAAAGGTGTACCCTCAACCAGACCTCAAAGTGACCAGATCAACCATGGTCAGAGTCACTAGGCTAGAGCGAAGAGGAATGCCATCCTTCCTTCCATCCTTCCTTCGTTCCACCCATCTTCCTTCCTTCCAGTTTACAAAGATGACTGATTATTAGAATCACCCAAAAGTTTTTAAAACTCTCAAAGACTAAGCAACACCCCCTAAACCAATGACCTCTGACTCCCTGAGGTGGGACAAAGATGTATTTCAAACCTTCCCCAAGAACAGCAACAAGTGGCCAAGGCTAAGTTCTGCTGATTTAACTCATTTCTTCTTTTTAAGGAAAATGAGGCACCTCAACCCAAGACTAGGAATGGGATTAATTTAATTGTAATAGCAGTTGACAGGGTGGTCACACTACAATTCCAGGGCACTACTGATGGTTTAATCTATAGGAGTGGAGGCCTTGGGATTGTGCAGTGCATAACCTACTTTGCTGTCTGTGGCAGCCTCTAATAATCAGCACCACACCCCGAATTCTCTACAAGGCATTTGCCATGAGCCTTACAAGCATCATCAGCTTCCTATACAGAAATCCTCAGCTAAGAAGGGACAGGGCCAAGATTCGAATCCAGACAGAACAGCAGATCTTCTGCATATCCTTTAAGATTGTTAGCCACATAACTCCTCCTTCACCAGCCTGTTCCTCTCCCCTGTTCATCTTTTTCTTTTAGATCTGACCTATCTGCTGCCCACCTCATGACCACATTGCCCCATCATGACCACATCCTCAGTGGTGTTGGGTTGCTCAGGAACCCCAGCAGCTTTGGGAGTGACCGCAGACTTCTGCCTGAAGAACCCCCAAATGACCTCCAAGACAGTCTAGATTTTCTTCTACTTTGGAGCTATATAAAGCCTGGCAAATGCCAAAAGAGTTAAGGGCCTCCTACTGGCAACAAAGGCTGCCATATAAGGTGAGGTAGATTGCATACTGCACAACTTTGAAACTTCTTCAAGCAGCTTTCTTTGTGGTAGGACTTGCAATAGACTCTTCTACACAGAAGCCTCATCAAATAGGCTAGAAAGCTCATTCTGCAGTTCTTAAACCATGAGGGTTCTAGCGCACACACACACACACACACACACACACACACACACACACACACACGTACATTATCTGTTAGCATTCAGCCACTCCCTTGGGAATCTGTGACTTATCCACCACACCATATGTTTAATTTGAAAAGAGGGGAGGGCCTGGAGAGATCCTTGAGCCAGGACTGGCCACCAATGGACCTGGGGTCCGAGATCATCCCATCATCTCCAGGGCCCATGCAAAATAAAAATAAAGTGGGTGCTGGAGAGATGACTCAGCAGTTAAGAGCACTGGCTGCTCTTGCAGAGGACCTGGGTTTGAGTCCCAGCACCCACTGTGGCTAACAACTATCTGTAATTCCAGTTCCAGGGAAATCCAATGCCCTCTTCTGACCTCTGTGGGCATTGCATGACACAGGTGCACTTACATACATGCAGGCAATATGCTCATACCCATAAAAATAATAAATATTATCGGATTTCTGTGAGTTCAAGGCTAGCCTGGTGTACATAGTAAGTTCCAGGCCAGCTGAGGCTACAGGAAGACCCTGTCTCAAAAAGACCAATAATAATAATAATAATAACAATAATAATAATAATGATAATAATTACTTTTTTAAAGTGAAGGACTGTTCTCCAAAGCATACAAGGGATTTTAATATGGCCACAATAGAAGACTGAACCAGGCGGAGTCTGTCTCCCCAGAATGACCCAAAAGACCACATCTGCCTGCGAGGGTGCCTTGAAGCTGAAGGTTATCAGCCAGGCCAATCAGAGGCTTCTCTCGAATGTAGTGGAAGCTAACACGCAGGTAGAGGTGCACAAGGGAAGCAAAAGAACTCAGTCATGAAAATTTCCCAAGCATGTTAACCACTTTCCCTACACAGCATGACCACAGTGCAGTCTTAGCCAGCATGACCTCTTAAAAACCCAGTCTGCCTTGCCCTTTTCCAGGCCTGAGGCTGCCTGTCCACCCTCACTGCGAACACCCTGACACCGGCTCTCACCACTCTCAGCACACTGTGCCTTTGTATTCCCTGAACAGACCCAGCTTGTTCAAGGTACAGGAGTCACACAGCTGTTCCCTAGGCCCAGAGCAGCGTCACCTCCACTCTAAAGGGTCAGACACTGAACCCCACCTCCTGAGAGAGGCCCCTCCCTTGTGGCTGAATGTAGGTCCTTCATTTGTCATCTCTGGAGCAGGGCCCCTGCTTGCTTAGCTCTCCTCCACGTACCTAGTGGCACCAGAGCACCTGGCAAATACCAGGCCTGCAAGTAGTTGCAGAATGCATAACCCTTGTATTATTAGACCCCTTCTCAATGCCCTGTTGTCAGGGGCTCTTAATTCTGTGTTTCTATTTTGTGTCTGGCCACATTGCTGAAGTCTCTCCCCCATCGTTTTGCAAGGAATATGGGTATATATATATTTTTTTAATGTTAATTTCGCCATCTCCTTTCTTAAAGACATTCACCTTACTTTGCCTATTGACTTAGCATGCCAGCAACATAAAGTGAGTTCTTCCAAAGCTGGTGTGGCTGATGGGAAGTATTTGGCTCTAGAAAGCTTGGGCCACAAAGAGGTTACCAGCAGGGTGACTAGCCAGGGAGTTTCGGGAGACATTCAGGTGTGGTGTAACGGTGGCCTGGATAGGATGAGAGCTAAGCGCATGGGAAGTATTGCTGGGAATTACTTAAAAGATTAGAGAAGTTTGGGCTAGAGAGTTGGCTCAGCAGTTAAGAGCAATGACTGTTCTTGCAGAGGACCTGGGTTCAATTCCCAACACCCACAGGGCAGCTAACAACTATCCTAACTCCAGTTCCAGGGTATCCAACAACCACTTCTTACCTCCATGGGCATTGCACAGCATGCGTGCCTTACACACATGCAGGCAATATACTCATACACATATAATAAAATAAATAAAATTTGAAGAAAAAGATTAGAGGAATTTGATAATAGATATCAAACAGGGAGTCCCAAAGCTCCAATTAATTCAGGATGTCCTAATACATTGGTTCCCAGAAAACGTGATCCCATCAGGTAAGAAAATATCCCCCCTAGAGGAGGAGAGATGTTTATTTTGTCAGGTGCCCATTTTAAAGTAACTAAAAGGCCTGGGATATAGCCCAGTTGGTAGACTACTTGTCTGGCACACATGAAGCCCTGGGTTCCATCCCTGGCACTGCAGAAAACCAGGAGTGGTGGTGCAGGCCTGTGATGCCAGCGCCTGGGAGGTGGGACCTGGAGGATCAGAAGTTCAGGTTCATTCTTGACTCCAGAGCAAGTTTGAGGCCTGCCTGGGCTACATATGACCCTGTCTCAAAAGCAAATAAATAAAGTAATGATTATGCATTACAATAATTTTCTTAAGATTTGAAAAAAATAGGATTTATCCTGGAAACAAACCATCCTATCAAAAGATATGGAGAAAGGCAATCATTAAAATTCTCTTTTTAGCTGGGTGTGGTGGCACACACCTTTAATCCCCACACTTGGGAGGCAGAGGTGTTCAGATCTCTGAGTTCAAGGCCAGCCTTGTCTCCACAGCGAGTTCCAGGGCAGTTGTGGCTACAGGGAGACCTTGTCTCAAAAAGACCAAAAAAAAAAAGAAATGAAAAAAGAAAAAATGTTTCTGAGAACACTAACAGAAGGAAAAGGCAACAGTTATGTTTCTACACGCTGACACTTCATCCGGCCACCTCCGAAGTATCTTCTGGTATTAGGTTTTCATTTTACAAGGCACCTGCACACTCCCGGCCTTCACTCCTCCTCCCATCTGTACCCTGCAATGGGAATAAGAGAAATGTTGCGTGTCCACCTGCCACCCTTACAAAGCAGTCTCCCACTGAACCCCTGTATTGTCTAGTTAGGTCACCTTGCCACTTATACCCCACTGAACTCCTCCTCTGTGTTCCTGGCCCCATCAAGCTGTTAGCCACTGCCAGGTCCTCACCATCTTCACCCAAATGCCTTTCAGCCTCTTCCCAGTTGTCCACAGACAACTTGGTATCAAGAAGGTATTGAAGGCTGGAGATGTAGCTCAGTTGGTAGAGTGCTTGCCTGGCATGTACAAGGCCCTGAGCTTGATCCCCAGAAGCTCTGATGCAGGGTATGGTAGCCCATGCCTATAATCCAAGCAGTCAGGAGGCAGAGGCAGGAAGATCACAATTTCATCTTTGACTGTATAACAAGTTTGAGGCCAATCTAGACTACATGAAAGTCTGTCTCAGAGAGACACGGGGTGGGAAGGAGAGTTCTTTAAAGAAGATATCAAGAGAACAAGCACTGCCTGGCTGTTAGCTGCTTATAGTAATTACAATGAATGTTTAGACAGTTTGGCCTCCTTGCGTCCAGCTTTTAAGAAAAGCACCCTCACCCCCTTTTCTGAGACAGGGTCTTGCTGTGAAGCCCAGGCTTACTTTGTTCTGCCTCTACTCCCAAGTGTTAGCACTGCAAGCATGTGTCTCCCCCCCACACACCCCAGCTGGTGGGGTTCAGCCCTTTCTGCATACAGGGCACAGGCAGTGTCTGGTTTAATACACAGTAGGCACTCAATAAACGTGTTGGTAATTGGTAGTAAAACTTTTGAGGTTTTTGGTGTTGGGGAACCAGGGCTCTGTGCTGGAAACTGAGGTAGCACGTCTTCACTTCACACACTGGAATTTCATATTTATTCTCTCTCTCTCTCTCTCTCTCTCTCTCTCTCTCTCTCTCTCTCCCCCTTTTCTCCTCTCAAACATTTCAAGAACAAGGATTCACCTGTAGCAGAGCCTTTCTGCATAAATTCCAAGCACATTGACAAACTTCCAGCTACTCTGGGAGGAGCCAGGTCAAGACTAGGCACATGTCTGCATACAAGATGACAGCCGTCCATTTGTGATTAGTGACGCAGCAGCTCCTGCACTTCGTACACTGCTCTCTGGTGTGGAGAGAGGGAAAAGCTGGCCACTTCCACCAGCAACTTTGGAACTATGGCTGGGGAGCTGAACAGTAAGGGGTGATAATTTCCTTTATCGTGGCATTTTTCTGAACAATCTTTAACAACTACATACAAGTTTTCTGGTACAAGTTTGTTAAGAAGCAGAAACTCAAACACAAGCCCTTCTGTTACAGGGATTTTTTTTTTCACTTAGACCCAAAACATATACAAGTGACAGCCTCTGTGTGTGCGTGTGTGTGTGCACATGCGCATACAGGTGCACACATGTATGTGGGTGCATGTGCATGTGGAGGCCAGAGGTCAACCTTAGATGTTGTTCCTCAGGCACTGTCCACCTTATTTTCAAGGCACAATCTCTCACTGGGACCTGGACTCAATGATTAGGCTAGACTGGCTTTCCAGCCAGCTCTACCTCACAGTACTGAAATTCCAGGCATGCAGTACCACACCTGGCTATTCACCCTGATGCTAGGGATTGAACACAGCAAGCACTTTCCTGACTGAACCTCTCCAGTCCCATGATAGCCCACATTTTGGACCTTGGAGTCATTTTAAGTCTATAACCCACATACTTTAAACATCATCTCCAATACCTGCAACAACCCTGTACTGAGGTTTAATTACTGTTTCTCCTTAACAAGGGAGGACAGCAAGGTTCAGATGGGCAAGTAATTTGCCCAGAGTTGCTCAGTCACCAACATCGACGTGACAGGAACCCACTCCCCTACATCTGTGCTCCAAGAGGTAGATGGGCCTGCAGGCATGTTGGAACAATTCCTCTGCTCATCTCTACAGCTTCGATGTACTCAGAGATCCAGAGAGAGAGAGCGGACATTGGGGGCCTCATGGCCCGGCCAGAGTACAGAGAGTGGAACCCAGAACTCATCAAACCCAAGAAGCTAGTGAACCCTGTGAAGGCCTCCCGGACCCACCAGGAGCTTCACCGGGAGCTGCTCATGAACCACAGAAGGTGGGATAATGGCTGGCTGGCTGCCTGCCCCAGCACAGAGGGGGAGGGGTTGGGGCTTAGAGAAATGCCGCTTGAGGAGACTAGCCTGGCTGTCATCCTGGGGTGGGGGGGGGCTACTAGAAGAAACTGAGAACCTAGAACCCAAAGCTCCCAGCCTCCCTCCCAGCCACACACTACACGCCTGGATGCCACATACATTTACTGAGTACCTTCTATGTACAGGACACCATGCCCAGACTTAGAGAAAGGAAGCCTAGTTCCTGCCCTCTCCAAGGAGGGTGGAGGGGGCAAGAGAGTAGAAGCCTTGATGGGAACTTAAAATGGTTGTGGGACCCCCCAAAGGAGGTACTTGGGAGATCCAAATGATTTCATGGAAGAAGAGAGAGATGACTGAAAGGTTTGAAGTGTGGACCGGAGTCAGCTGGGCTGGGAGGTGGACCCTGCTGGCAGAGGAACCAGTACGTGCTAAAGGGCAGGAATCAAGCTGCTTAGCGACTGGGGCAGAATTCCTCTGCTGAGCATCAGAAAGAAGCCCCTGGCTGGGGTGGGCTGTAAACTGGCCTCACCTATGCTGCAGAGAGGTGCCAGGTAGTGATGACTCTCATTGAAATGCACCCCCGGGTGAGACACGAGCCAAAGAAGAATCTAGGGGAATTGTAGGACTGCGATTGGCAACCACAGGATGTTAAGTGAGAGAGAGGGAGGTTATGGGTCCCCTAAGAGGCCTGAGAAATGACCTTCCTGCCCACCAGGACCAGAATGAAAGTGGCGGTGTTTTCGTTGCGCCCTCTGCCGGCCATCTCTGGTATTGAAACCAGTTGTGATTTCCATTCTAAGACTCTGCAGATAACCTTTGCACACTGGGCTGTTTGGGGATTTGTTTTTACTTAATATCATTAACATCATCATTTTCTCTGTTGTTTTTTAGAATTATAATTCACTTTAATATCAAAAACACCACCACAATAAATAATTTCAAGCAAACCATGGAAAATATTTACAATACAAATAAATTATATGGAAAAATTCCATATACAGAAAAAGATTAATGTATTCAAGTATGTTAATCTACAAGGAAAATACGCCCAAAATTACGCATAATTAATTCACAAAAGAAATGCAAATGGTTAGTAAACATATCAAAAGTTGTTCCAGGAACTGCAGAGGCAGCTCAGTGGTAAAGAGCACTGGCTGCTCCTGCAGAGGACCTGGGTTTGGTTCCCAGCACCTACATGATGACTAACAACTTTCTGCAGCTCCAATTCCAGGGGGAATTCAATACCCTCTTCTGGCCTCCACAGGCACTACATGCACATGGCATACATGCAGGTAAAACAGAGATATAAAATTAAAACAAAAATTGTAAAAAGTGATCCATGTGGCTGATAATCAGGAAAGGAAGTGAAAACCAGGTATTATTTCTTGCCTCCCAGACTTAAAAAGATTGGCTGGTGAGAATGGAGAGACACGGATGTCCTTGTATGCTATTGATGACATTATAAATTGGATAGCCTTTCTTAGGGGCAAATGGAAGTAAATATCCACAAGCTTTTAAGAGCTCCTGACCCAGCAATTCCATCTTCAGAAACCTATCTAAGAAAACATCCAGCAAGCATATAAAACCTGGTCTCTGCTGTCAGACAGGCTTAGGTTCGAATCCTCAGTCAACACCTTGTAGCTGGGACCCTCCCTGGTGTTTTAGGCAATGGCAGCCTCATTGCTCTTCTCTGTAAAGTGAGACAGTAAAAGCTTTGCCTCCCAGCACTGCTCAAGCACTGTGGGAAATAATTTGGGGGGAGGGTCATTGCAACAAGTCCCAGACTGGGGAGATAGAACAGAGAGAAGGTGAGGGTCTCCTGACACCTCCCCACAACCCCCAGGGGCCTGGGTCTGGACAGCAAGCCTGAGCTACAGCGGGTCCTGGAGCATCGGCGCCGGAACCAGCTGATGAAGAAGAAGAAGGAAGAGCTGGAGGCCAAGCGGCTGCAGTGCCCCTTCGAGCAGGAACTGCTGAGACGGCAGCAGAGACTGAACCAGGTGGGTAGGGGCACCCAGCGTCAGCAGGGGACCAGGAATCCTTCTCTGGTCTGCTGTGTGACTCTGGGCCAGTGGCTTCTCGTCTCTGGACCTCAGCTTTCTCGCCAGCCCTGTGTCCTGCAAGCTCATTCTGATGATCCTTGCTGCCCTGAGAGCCAGATGGTATTTCCGTTTTAGAGGTGGCCAGAAGAGTAAGTGATCTGAAACAGGTTTCACAAGAACTCGGTCTCATGCTTTGTCCCCCCATCATAGATGTGGGTCAGAGTACAGCAGACACCCACTGAGATCTCCAGGTTCTTGTGTCCTGGAAGAATTTGACCAGGAACACGTAGGCAGTAGTAGAAATAGAGAAAGTTTATTAAGGACAAGAAAGGCACTCAGGGAAATGGAAGTGGGCTAGAGAGCTGGACCAGGCCAAGCCTCCAAAACTCATGATACCTTTCTTCCATATTTGGAGCTGGTGGATTTCCTCAAGCATGCTCTGTTTTGTTACATGTAGCTTCAGGTGGGGTGGATTTTTTTTCCCAATGTTAATCCTTTTTTTTAAAGACAGGGTCTTGCTATGTAGCCCTGTCTGACCTAGAAATCACTATGTAAACAAGACTGGCATCAAACTCTCAGAGATCCACCTGCTTCTGCCTCCTAGGTGCTGGATTAAAGGTCTATACCACCATGCCCCACTTTCATGTTAACATGATGTCCCTCTCTCTCAAGGGTCTACTCTCTCACTTACCAAGATGATTTACAAAACACACCCCAGCCTGTATCCCACTTGATAGGACCTTGGTCCTACACCATCGTTTTTTGAGAAACCCCCAACCCTGCCCATTTGACCCCTTTGTGTCTCTCTTTCAGCTGGAAAACCCACCACAGAGGGAGGAGGACCACGCCCCAGAGTTCATCAAAGTGCGGGAAAACCTGAGGAGAATTGCCACACTGACAAGTGAAGAGAGAGTGCTGTAGAGCCCCCGCTGCTCAGCTCCTGCCCTGGCCACTCACTCTCACCCAGGCCCTCCCCCAGCCCTCCTGAACCAGCAGCCATAATGCCGTACACAAGGCTCCCACGTAGATGTGCAGACCCAGGAACCTGGCTGTCCCTGGGAATCTGGGGTCCTCGACACCCCAGACAGGGAGGGCTGTAGGCCTCTGGACACCCCCTAAAGGCTTTTCATTCTGAGCACCCAGCCTTCCTGCCATCTTCTCCCTGGTCTCTCAGAGGTGGTTTCCCTGGCAGAACTGGGAAGGAAGGCCGGGAGTCACTCGATTCTGCCCAGCTTCCCACTGAGACCATTTCTGGGAGCAGCCCAGCTTCTAGGTGTTGGGAACACTCTAGCCTGTTGGTTGATCTGAGGCCAGGTGTGGGACAACTAAGCAAATTTAGACCCCTGGACACGTGTCTTAGAAGTCACAGAGCAGGGAAAGGCTCAGCAATCCATGTGAAGAAGGGCATCGTAGGCCGCAGCAGGCTGTGGCTGGGTGAGAAGAATCCTAACCAAGGCAGTTTTGGGCCTTGCCCGCTGTGTCCTGTGCTTGAGCTCTTATTTGTCCTCCCACAGCCCTCCCAAACTAGACTGCTTAACACACCCCACCAGACTGCAGCACTGGGGCTCTCAGCTTAGAATACACTTTGCCAACTTTACTGTATGAACAGATCCCACAGAATCCCATTAAAGTACAGCTTCCCAGGGCTAAAAGCCTACATATCTAACATACTCCCACAGGAGGCCCAGTATACGGCTTTGAGGACCCAGCTAGGCTGGAGCACCCATGGCTGGTATATTTTGGAAATACCCGACTCCCGTGGCTCTCTGGCCTGGGAACTCCCCGGGCCCTCTACCCTCCTCCCCCCTCCCCCGCACCCGCCAACACACTCTCCTATCAGTGACCCTTGG